GACTTCCCTTTTGTTAGGTGTTGTTAACACGTACTTTACCCTGTAGCACTCACATTTAAATTGCACACCTTTGTTGTTCACTTGGTCTTTGACATACAAGGCCCAATAGTTTAGAATGGATTCTACATTCCTTGTTAGCTAGTCTTGCTTTCAACACAGGACTTCACATTGTTTGCTTGTTTGTTTGTTTTTCTATGAAAAAGGGATTTTGAGCTCTCTGAAGGCAACAGTAGACATTATTCTTCATAGCTCTAGCAGAGCAGCACATGGGAACAGGCACTTAATAATTGATGATGAGCTCTAACCGGTTTGGCTCAATAGATAGAGCGTCGACCTGTGGACTGAAGGGTCCCAGGTTCGATTCCCAGGTCAAGGGCATGTACCTTGGTTGCGGGCACATCCCCAGTTGGGAGTGTTCAGGAGGCAGCTGATCGATGTTTCTCTCTCATTGATGTTTCTAACTCTCTATCCCTCTCCCTTCCTCTCTTTAAAAATCAATAAAATACATTTAAAAAAATAATTGATGATGATGATAATGATGAAGATGAGGCTGAAAAAGTAGAAACTGACAGTAGCTGGAGATGAGATGGGTATGGGTGTTGGGACATGCTGACTTGGCTGCTGGATATGAGGGACCTTCCAGGAAAGGCTAAGCTAGGATATGGCCCAGAGGATGGGGAGGAGGGGACCATGTGGCCTGTGTGGCCTGAAATAGCTCTCGGTAACCTGAGGAATTGGCAGTCAGGAGTTGAACTGGAGTCACGTGCCTGGTTCTGGCTCTGAAGTGGAGGTGAACAAGGGAGGTTGCCAGCCAGGTTCTTTGGGCAGCTGGAAGGAGGAGGAAGGGCGAGAAGAGTTATTTTTAATATTATTCAGAGCACAGAAAGAGGATTTCCCAGTAGGGAAAAAAGGAATACGATGTAGGTAACACAGATACTTCCAGGGCTCGAGGAGATGCACAGGGCTGGGGAGGAGACCAGAGGTGGTGGCAAAGCCCTCTAACGTGGACAGTCCTACTGGACTCAACTACTGGATTTATATTTGGGTGAATCTAGGCAGATGCCTGCCTCTCTTTAAGACTGTTTTCATTCTTCTAACAAATGTTGATTGAAAACTCACCATTGAGTACAGCACTGTACAACCTGGTTTGGAGATAGAAACTTAAAAGTAACGGTGTCTTTTTTTTTTTGGAGCTTAAAACTTAGTAGAAGAACACACATATACACATGAAACAACTAGTGAATGTAGGATACATGATACTTTTACATGACATTTTATTGAGGGATGGGTTCAATCAGGAGGGTCTTCCTGGAGGAGGTGTGTTTTGAGCCAGTATTTGAAGGAAGTTATCAATGCAGAACAATGGGGAAATGGCAGGAAATTGGTTGTTCCAAGTACAGGAAATTACCTAAGAAAAGTTTAAGGGGGTGGAGGGGACACATGTAATACCTTAATCAATAAAGAAAAAAATTAAAACAAAAATAAATAAAAATTAAATATAAGAAGAAATTCTACAAGTCACAAAAGAAGATAAACAACCTTAGAGGGAAATGAGCAACAGACTTGAACAAGACTTTCAGAAAAGTAAGTATTCAAGTGATCTGTGTACATATGAAAGGATGTTCATCTTCAGTAATAGGAAAATGTAAATTAAAACCACAATAAAATAATATTATTTACCAAAAAAAGAGAAAAGTTTAAAAGACAGTAATTAGCTAATCTAATTAGTAGGGTACAACAAGCAAATTGACTTGGCAGGCCTATTGTACCTTGGGGATTGTGCAGCAAGGTACAATATAACAAGGTACAATATAACATTATGACCTCAATGTTAATGATGTCACAGTTCAGTCATGTATCCCAGTCCATTTCTGTCTTTTATCTGGCCTGATCCTGCCTTCTCACTTGAAGCAGCTGTCTCACATGTGTAAACCCTTAGTCAGAGGGTGTGGGACTAGACAAGAAAGTGGGGTTGGAAATGTTGTAGGCAGTTAAACCGACATAAGCAAAGCAAGGGCAGTGGGCCAGGTACAGAAGTTCACCAAGATGGAAAGCCGCAGGTGACTAGCAACCGACAATGACTTGTAGGGTGGGACCTGCCCACTAGCCTAAAGCTCGCTGGTCATGCATTTGGACCCCCTGACCTTTCCTCCCTAAAGTTAACATCTGTGCCTGTTATATTTCAACTCCTGGTCCAGGTAAGTAACAAAACCAGCTACGGCTGACATCAGGACCAGTTGCACTGAATAATGACCCCTGTCCTGGAGGCAGCCAATCAATCAGTGGAAACCAGACCGCTGAATGGGCACACCTGGAAAGCTACTGAATATTCAAATAAGATCTTTCTCAGGGACCCCCCCTAAAATCTCCGCCCTTAAAACCCTTAGGACAGAGGGTCCTCCCTGCTTTTCCTCCCTTCCCCTTCCTCCCCTCCCCCAGGCACCATTAGCTTCCTCACTCGGAAGCTCCAAGGGCCCTTCCTTTACCGCTAGAACTTGTTTCCTAAGCCCGAAGCTCCAAGGGCCCTTCCTTCCTTTACCGCTAGAACTTGTTTCCTAAGCCCATTTCCTCTAGCAATTACTTCTTCTACCTCTGTGATTTACCCAACAAACATTCTCTTACAGTTTGGGTCTGGATTCTGAATTCTGTCCTAGCCAGAACCCAAGTACCGAGGTTGCTGGACCCAGGTTTGGTCTGACCCCGCTGGCCAGACACCTGGTGCCTTTCCTGCCGCCTACAACAGAAAAGGTCACATGCCCACTGAGTGTGACTCCAGAATACCATCTCTGAACGGGAAGGAGGTACTGTATCCTGCTGGTTGGGGTGGAAGTAACGAGGGAAAAAGAAGATATGTTAGCAAAGAAAAAGAAATGAGATCATTCGCAAACGTGGGGCTTTATATATACATATAAAACAAGGATTAAAACACCTTCCTTACAAAATGGTAACTAAGCCAGGGTTCAAAGAGAGGAGTCCTGCTCAATAAATCCCATATAAAACGGGCTCAAACTTTAAATCAATCCAGATTCAGTGGAAAGCCCAAAATAAATGTCCATCTCAAGGAGTGGGGGGAGTTGGAGGGTTTCTATCTGTTTCCAGGCCTCTGTTTCTGGGCAAGATTTCTCTTTTCCACGAGAATTAGATCTAAAAGGCAACACAGTCTTTAATTATTTTATATGCTCACCCCACCCACATAATACTACTCATACAAAGCTTTCCTGAATGTGAAGAGCGTGACTAAAGATTCAGAAAGCAGAGGAGTATAACTATCTTTAATTGTAACAGCAGGCACCACCATTCTTATTTTTTTGTTGTTAATCCTCACGTGAGGATATTTTTTTTCTATTGATTTTTAGGGAGTGGAAAGGAGGAATGGGAAGAGGGAGGTAGAGAAGAAAGAGAAGGAGAGAGGGAGAGAAAGAGGGAGAGGGAGAGGGAGAGGGAGAGGGAGAGAGAGAAATATAATCTCCTCCCGCACTCGCCCTGGCTAGGCTGGGAATCAAACCTATGACCCTCCCTTTGGTGCACGGGGCCCATGCTCTAATGGTTAGAGTCTAACAGTCTAACCCAGGGGTGGGCAAACTTTTTGACTCGAGGGCCACAATGGGTTCTTAAACTGGACCGGAGGGCCGGCACAAAAGCATGGATGGGGTGTTTGTGTGAACTAATATAAATCCAAAGTAAACATCATTACATAAAAGGGTACGGTCTTTTTTTTTTTTTTAGTTTTATTCATTTCAAACGGGCGGTAGTTTGCCCACGGCTGGTCTAACCACTTAACACTGGCCAGATCGGGCACCACTATTCTTTCTATTTTTTTTAAATATATTTTTATTGATTTCAGAGAGAAGGGAGAAGGAGAGAGAGAGAGATAGAAACATCAATGACGAGAGAATCATCAATCGGCTGCCTCCTGCAAACCCACACTGGGGATCCAGCCCGCAAGCCTGGGCATGTGCCCCGATGGGGGGAATGGAACCTGACCTGGTTCACAGGTTGATGTTCAACCACTGAGCCGCGCCAGCGGGTGCTCTTCCCCCTTTTATCACGATCATTTCCCCTTGTATCGCGATGGAAAGCTGTACAGTGACCTTTCACTGTCTGGATCCTCCTGCCCACGAGGTCTCACCTTTCATCAAACATATATTTTTCCAGACAAAGATGGATCTCTCCCCTAGAAGTAAGTCTGATTCTCTCCACCTCGACTTCTTTGAATACATATTAAAGGAGAAAGCTATGCAAACACTTTGCCCAGAGCCTGGAACATTCATTTCCTTTCTCAAGGGCTTTAAGCACAGTACTAAGAGCTGTAGCGACTACAAGGATGAATAGGATTTATGGAACTAACTATACGCAAAGTGGAACATGATAAAGGCTCCAAGAGATCAACAGGTATCTGCTGTTGACACGCCCACGAAGTCATCCTGGCGCTTGCTTATGTGTCCGGAGGGTGGCCTGAGCCTGGCCAGGTCGTGGGCCGGCGACTTTGCGCCACGGGACCACGTCTGCAGCGCCTCGCATACCCGCCGGGGCGCCTGCCAGAGGGTGGAACTACATCTCCCGACAAGCCGCTAGTCTCCTTGCTTCCTCCCTCGCCCGTCCCGAGCCATGGCAACCGCGTGACGTGAGGGTGCAGGGAGCTGCAGGAGCAGCGGTCGCGGCTTCAGTGCTAGCTCACCCCGCTGCCCGGGCGGGAGCACGGCGAGAGGAG